TCTATATACATAAGGCGTAAAAAATATTGATAAAACTGTTCTCCAAACTGGATGCATCGAATCATTTGAAACTGATGCATGTATTCACGGAGACCCTAAGGAAGAACTTGATGCTCGTGAAATTTGATTTAAAAAAAATATATATATGTTTTGGGTTCTACTCTGGGAAAAAAGAATTAGCGAAATAATTAGTCTTTGAATTAACCAAGTACTTCTTTGCTACCATTCTAAGATACATTTTTTTGGTTAAATGGAATCTTTTTCCCAGAACACCAAGGAGACTTTCCATCCCATTGGAAGCCTCTTAACTTTTCACTCTTCTTAAAGAAACGCCTCTTCCTCGGGATTCATTCCATTTCTCATGATAACCTTGATTTGTCCCTCTCTCTTTTTATTCCAGTTTCCAGAACTTATGCGACCCTTTTTCCCTCTTTTCTCTCCTTTAAAGGCCAATGTCGAGCTCAAGGTGTGCGGCGCTAATTAGGGAATAACGAGAGCGGTTTTCTTTGGAGCAATTCCCGGGAAAGGGGTAATCGCTCGTTTTCCTTTTCTTTTTTTCTTCTTTCGTTTCTTCAGCCTCACGCAAACATCCTCGAGGAAGCTAGTGCCGTCTTATTACGCCATTGGAGGTCCTTCCTTCAGCTTTAGCGATATTAAAGTCAAAGTGCTTATCGCCGTAACTATTACCTTCACTCCCGTAATTACTTCGCCATCTTTGCCGCTTAGCATTGGTTGTTAATAACATTAACACCGGCTACGTATCGTAAAGACTAAAGGGGATCTGTCTGTCGCTTAGAGATGCATCCCTAGTTTCCAGAAATTACTGGCTTTGCCCTCCATTACCGGGCATTAACTCGCAATCACTGTCTCCGTTGGATTTTCGATGCCGACGCCATTTTCCTCGGACAATTTGATAGGGAAATCAAATCCTTATAGTAGGAATGGCATCTTCGTTTTGAGAGCACAAACTATATTTTGTATCATGTAATTTGATACGCTCTTTCTTGGTTGCTCTGTTAAAACAAAATGCATAAAATTCATACACTTTTAAGTACATAATAATTCATACACTTAAGTACATAAATTTGATGTCTTAATAGCGAATCAGTATACATTTATTATAAAATTCTAATGTGTAGTGATTTATTTCGTTGGTTTGTTTTTTTCTTTTAATTGAAACAAAAAAAAACTTTGAAAATGTACGAGCGAGGTCGTAGTTAAGAATGACTGATTCTCGATTTCTGCAATTTCCTGCCGATTGCGATAAAAAGTGCGAGCTACACCGGTGACACACATCGTCGCAATTATCGGTCCCATCGCTTACCCTGGAATGGCGGCTACGTCACAATGGCCACGTGGTTCCTCCACTATGAATGGACACGCGTAAGCGTCCCCTTTACTCGCGAGCGGAACCTCTCGTCTATGCTCGACACGCCGGATCCCGCCAATAGAAAGTCGCGATATCGACGGACACGCTAATAAGAAATGGCGACATAGTCGACTCGCCGATAGAAAATGACGGTATAGTCGGATTCGCTAGTGGGAAATCGCAAGGCAAGCGGCCAGGAGAAAATCACTATATTGTCAGACTGGTTAATGAAAAATAACGATATAGGCGGATTCATTAGTAGAAAATTGCGACATGGACTGGTCGGTAGAAAATGACGATATAGTCGGATTCGCTAGTGGAAAATCGCAAGGCAAGCGGCCAGGAGAAAATCACTATATTGTCAGACTGGTTAATGAAAAATAACGATATAGGCGGATTCATTAGTAGAAAATTGCGACATGGACTGGCCGGTAGAAAATTGCGATATTGTTGGACTCGTAAGTAGGAAATCGCGATGTAATCAGACTGGCTAATAGAAAATGGCAAAATAGTCGAATTTCCTTCGCCAGGAGAAAAATCAAGATATTGTCAGACTGGCCGGTAGGAAATTGCGATATGGTTCGACTCGTAAATAGAAAATCACGATATAATCAGACTCGCTAATAAAAGTGGCAAAATAGTTGAATTTTCTAGTAGACAATCAGAAAATGATCGACCATGAGAAAATCCCAATATAATCGGGGCTCGTTAATAGAAAATAGGGATTTAAACGGAATCGGTAATAAAAACATATACAGGTAATCTAATTCGTTACTAGAACGTGGCGAAATAGTTGACCGTGAGGAAATTGCGATATAATCGGACGGTTAATAGAAAATCGAGATATAATGAGACTTTTAATAGGAAATTGTGATACCGTCGAAAATGACGATGCAGCCAGACACGATAGTATGAAATCCCGATATCGACGGAGAGGCCAATATAATATCGCAATATCCTCGGGGAGGGAAATTCTCAACCGCGGCGATTTTCCCCGCAAAACCTGGAAATCGCGTCCGATGTGCCCACCGACTCGAAGAGACACTCACTCGAGTGTGCACTTACTCGTTGCGAGACCTCAATGCGGCAAACCGCAATGTCGCATGACCGTCCCCGAGTTGTTCGCCATTTTCCGCGAGTTTTCCCCGGAAATTTTCCCATGGAAGGCGATTCGCACCTCCGGAATATCCTTTTCCCCACAGCCCGGTAATATGAAACGCACCCTGAAGCACTGGAACCACGCCGCCATTTTGATCGGGAATTAATTTCCTGAATTACAAGAGTCTCCCTCGTTAGAATCGACTGATCACTTTTCCGACTTGACGCGACCGGTGACACGCAATTATCGCCCTTGATTGTGCAATCGTAGCCTTCATTTTGTAATAATAATTCGAAAAATCAAAACTGAGTCCGATCTTGCTCGCCATTATGGGGAACAAAATGGCGGCGTTGGGTCAGGTTAGGTTTACGAGGAACAGTGGCCGTTATTAGACGGCCGAGGTATTACTTTTCATATACTTTACGACACCTGCCAGCTAACGACCGATTTTACGAGCCGAGTGACCGTAGTCATCGTCATATCGACGCGCTTATCGATAACGGCGGGAGATGGCCCTCTTTTGAATTTCCCGCCAGAGGGAAGTGTTTCTTTCTCCCTTGATGGCAGGAATGGGGACGGAATGAAGTCGTTTAAGTCGTGGGAGACACCCGGCACGTCCAACTTATGCAAACGAGAACAATGCGACGTATGATTTAATGCGATGACCTCGAAGAGGATGGGGCGCATCTGGGTCGCTCACCACCGGATCGCGTCATCGTTACACCCACTTTTATCTCTGCAGGTCTGTCTTCTTTATTTCTAGCCGAGCTAGGAGAAATTCCTCCCGGCTGTGAAAATAAGAAAAAGTTCCTTGGAAAATGCTAACCTAAACTATCCCCTGGTCGCAGGATTTAGTCTGGCATCGCGCCTTTGAAAACTGAACTAATTCGTCGCCATTTTGATTTTCATCTTCATGCCTTTATAGTTCCATACCGTGCTTTTAATTATCCAAATGTTAATTATTATAAACGAATCTGCGGTGGCGCTATTAAGTGCACACTTCAATTACGTCGATGTTGATGGTAAAAATGATAAGTGTTTAAAATTGAGAGGGCACGGTATTAATTTCATATCTTATTTTTACCGGCGTTCGGGATGAAAATGATAAGAATTTTAATTTACGGCGGTGGACTATTAATCTCACATTTTATTTCCACCGACGTGCATGAGAAAAATTCCAGCTGTCGACGATTTTGGTTTCCTGTTAGCACTGCATCACGTCGGGACATCGAATTTTGCATAAAAAAGGAACGAACGAGCGTTATGGAAATTCGATACGGGAAAGCCTCCATTTTGAAACCTCCCTGGAAAACCTGCTAAGATCAATCTGCATCATTGGAAAGTGAGACCGACGCTTTTAGGGGAAACGGGGGAAATCTCTCGTCAGAGTGGAATTGGCTTTTTTTTCCTGGGAGGGTGAGGAGTGAAAATATTATTTTCATAAACCGCATACTTTCTTGTCGGGAATGTCGCGAGGAAGGACGTGAGAACCAGAGACAAGGGTGGGAAGAAAGAGAAAGAAATCCGAGATTCGATCCGTCCGATCGATCGCCACGAGATCGATCCCCGTGAGAGAGTCCGATTCTCGTCGAGGAAAACGAGACTTCTCGAATCGATCTGCCTTCTAATTAATTTCTATTATCACGTTTAGCTCGTCCCCGTTAATTTACGAATCGGTGGGCGATTCAAGAGTTGGAAATGTTAAGCCGAGCTTAAGATTGCGGCTTATTAAGCCTCTCAGACAAAAGGCCTCGCTTAACTCCGATCTAATCGCCTCTTAAATGGGTTTACGATCCGATTATGGCAAAACTTACCGGCAATGCACATAGATACAACCTCCGCACGTACCCATACTACGTACAGGTACTTCCTCAGGTGCACATCGCAAGGGGATATTTCCTTTGCTTATGTGTTTTTAAACAGAGTATAAAAGATATTCTTTATTAAAAATCATACAGAATTGTACACCGAGGGGAAAAGGAAGATGCGTCGAACCGAGGAAATTTTTCCTCAATCCAAAGAGTGATTCATTTCACTCGAATGAACATCGAATAAATTGTCATAATTCCGAGGAAACATTGCGTGTCATTTATTCCCGTTTATTCGAGTGTAAATAATTATCCTTTGTATAAAAAAAAAATATTTCCTTGGGCCGATGAAGTTTTTCTTTTCTCAGGGTCTTCGTTACGTGAGGGTGGTGGTCTTATGTACCTTAATAAGCTACTCGTGAGTTACTCCTGATTTATTCCCGAATTACTCAAACACTCACGAGTACCTCGAGTATATTCTCAAATATTAACACGTTTACTCGTGTGAAATTGTACGGCACTCGAATAGCCAATGAAAAACTACTTCATATCGTGCTGTAAACAGGAACTGGAGCACGTCGTCTACCTACGTGGCTTCGCATTAATATTCCGCTTCCGTTGAAGCGAGGCGAGCCATCGGTGGGAATTTATCATTTTTTTTTACATTCCCTCTGTACTAATTGTCCCGAATAATATTAATTGGAGGTCGATGTTCACATTCCAGCTGGGCCAGGAGCGGAAAATGGCTACTTCGGTCCTTGGAGGCAGTGCAAACTTCTTCTTTACGGTCGAGAGAGATGCGGCCACGACGTCTCCCGATTCGAGCCAGTTCGTAAGTATTTCGTGACTCGAAAGAAAATAAAAAATAAAAAATAAACCGCCCCGATTTTTCACCGTCGATTCGCCGACTGATGTGCATCACTTAGTTCGCCGAATGATTTATTAATCAGATCCCCGTCGGATTTATCATTTAGATCGCCGCCGGATTTATTATACACTGACTAATGGACGTCATTGAACCGGAGAAACATTTTATTAATTCAGAGGATAATCATTCGACTGGAGTAAACTGAGAATATTCAAGTCTAAAAATATTTCTTCGGTTAAATGACCTTTTATTTCTCGGGATATAGATCGCCGAATGATTTAATATTTAGATCGCCATTTCTCGAACCTCGTCTCAGGAAATTCGTCCTCAAAGTTGGACATGGTTGCGCCATGGCTTTCACCGTGGAGCCTTATTCCACTCGCGTCTCCATATCGAGATCTGCATATTCCTACTTCTCCTTATCGACCCACTTTATCCCTCGGGACTTCACCTACACCCTTGAATCCTGATCGATTTTCTACAGGGACGTCGTCGTCCCCAAAATGCCCTGCCATCTAGAAAACGACAGTTCGATCGTGTCTTTCTCTTCAATCCGGCGGGATTCCTCCCCAGGGATGTTCCATGTAAAAGCCTCTAAAAGTTCGGATTTCGATGCAGGAACTGAGTAAATACCCAACGATCGAATTCTCCTCTTCGGATCTCTCCCTAGGGATGTTCTATGTAAATCTTTCTAAAACATCGTACTTCGATACAGGAATTGAATGAATACCGGGGACTAAATTTTCCTTTTCAAGGCGGCATCCTTATCCTGAAAGAGAGTAACCCTTGGGATTTTTTTCGAGGTGGAAGTTCCTACCCCTCGGGACGAGGTGCGAGATTAATGGTCCTTCGTTTCTTCATTTTGCCTCCTTATTGGACGCGAGACTGATGGCAGGGTTCCCTAGGGATGGTCGCCTCGTTTTCCGGGATTACCTCGGAATTATCCCGACATTATCGCGACCTTATCGCAGTCGCCTTGCGGTTTCCTGTTGGATTGGCTTCGTAAGTCCTCTCCCGGAAACGGATCGCCTTTGCCTCGGGATTGGAATGGTCGTCTTAACGTTGAATTTGATTTCAGGGGCCGAAGGCTTTGGTCTTACTGACAGGCTTTGTGGACCTCTGGATTAGAACAGCTTCCCTAACCTCGAATTTTATTTCAGTGTTTCTATTCTACCTTCGAACTTCATAGGCCTCTCAGCCTCAAATTTGGAATTTTTTCCCTAACCTAGAATTTTATTTCAGCGTTTCCATTCCACCTTCAGGCTTCATAGGCCTCTCTGCCTCAAATTTGGAATATTTTCCCTAACCTCAAATTTTATTTCAGTGGCCGTCTGGGTGGCGGGCCTGGCCGCGGCCGGAGCTTCCGTCCTACTCGCCGGCTTCGTGGGCCTCACCGTCCTCCAGCTCGCCATGGCGTCCTCGGCGAAAAGGATGTTCATGTCTTACGGAGCTGCGCTCATCGGAAAGGTCGCCATGGCCACGCTGGCGAGTGAGTAAAAAAGCCATTTCCCATAACGAAGTATCACCGGCCTTCCGGGCCCGGGAATGAGGCCCGCTTGCGCGGGAAAATGGCCGACGTGGAGAGACGCGTTACGTGAGTTTACGACACTCGCGGGTCGACGCTTAAGAGTCGCTCTGCCACCTGTCTACTTACTCTGGCCTACTTACCTCGGAACCATAGCCGAAGAATCAAATGTCCACGGGGGAGATCCGCTTTCGGTAAAACGAGACGTTCTAATGTCGCAGGACTACTTATCCGTGGAGCCTGAGACCTTATGGGGCGAGCTACGCCCTTAAGTACGCCCTAAGGATCACGTATAATTACGTGCACGCTGTAACGATCGTATATTTCATGGCACTCGATAAAATGTCTATATTTAATTTCTACATAAAGGAAAGGAAAAAATTTACACAATAGGAAACCTCATGGGTATAGGGACCTTCCTTATACCCTCCATATTCACGTTGTAGAGTTTCAAAGCATTCCGTACACCCAATTCGGAGAAATGTCTCACTTTCACATCCCCTTGATACATGAAAAGATGTCGAGCGCGCCGCCATCTTGTGAGGTCTAGAGGTGCGGAAAAGACTGTGCAGAAAAATACGAGCGATAATGTACGCGCAGTTTCTTTGTTATGAAATTCTCGGTGTATGGAGATATTAATTAAATTGAGGGGGGGATTTTTTATTGAGAAATTCTAGAGTTTCAAAGAATTCCGTACATCCAATTCGGAGAAATATCTCACTTTCACATCCCCTTGATACATGAAAAGATGTCGAGCGCGCCGCCATCTTGTGAGGTCTAGAGGTGCGGAAAATGTACGCGCAGTTTCTTTGTTATGAAATTCTCGGTGTATGGAGATATTAATTAAATTGAGGGGGGATTTTTTCTTGAGAAATTCTCTAGCGGTGTTTTCAAGAGGAAAGAAGGTCTCAAATAAAAATGGCGGAACCATCCGAGTAACAGGCTCGGCTCGTAATGTAATTGCTGCTCGTCTCGAGACACTTGTCATGGGCAAGAAGAATTGCCGAGCAGCTCGAGCTCGTTAATCGCCCCGTTCTAAATAGCTCGGTAAATCAGCTGATAACGGGCTCCCAACTCCCCTCGACTTTTTCTCCGTTTAATCCGAAGTTCCGGCGCAAAAAGTCTCGGTACGAAAGTTGCTCCGCGTTTCGTTGTAATTGCGTTTTATCTATGCTTTAATCCTTTTAATTAGTTTCCGCGCTTTTAAAGGTGATATCAAAGTGGCATCCGAAGGGTCAATTGCTTATGAGACTTTTCTATGAACTGGGTAAAGGGAATCGTTTGAAATTTGACCACGTGAATACGGAAGCCCCGAGGAAGGTTTCTATGCTCATGAAATTTCACGTTTTATAACAATAATTAAGAAAATGTTCATAAAAGGAATTTCATTTTTATAATGAAAATTCAAACGCGTTCATAAACTAATCTTACCACGTGAATACAGCGGCCCGGAGGAAGGTTTCGGTGCCCATGAAATTTCATTTGTTATAACAAAATTTAAAAATGGTCTGTAGACATTTTTTAAAAACTGAAATTTGTGGGTGGCGGGAAGTTAGGGCATTTATATTCACGTGGTAAAATTTCAAACAATTCGGTACATCCAGACTGGAGAAGCTTAGGAAACGATCGACTACTCAGATGCCATTTTCGTTTTTTTTGTCGTTTCCATTTTTTTTGTCGCCTTAATTTGTTTTTCTTTTTGGAGTAATCGTTGGGAATTTCGTTTCAGCGTCGCTGGCTATTGTGGCCTCCAGCCTGTTCGCCTTGCAGACGGACGACAGAGCCAACAGCTACATCGTCAGGAGGGGCGAAGGGTTCTACATGCAGGTAAATGCGACATAACCTCACCCTTCGACCTTCCCTGTGCATTACTTCCGCTAAAAATAGGCACCTCGGCGAGAGGCTCGCGCCCCTCTTCAATTATTAACCTCTTGAAATTGATCCGCTCGATTTGCGAGCTTTCATTTCAGACTTTCCTCCCCACCAAGGGTGCTTCCTTTCCTCTCCTTCGCGCGGAACTTTCGAGATTATTTGACGGGCGTGTACTTGGCGCGAAATGCCACCGGGTTCCCCGAACCTCCAAAAACGAAATTCCTTCTTTCCCCTCCGCCATCTTGGCTGGCCGCCGACCTTCGATACTCTCACGTAACTTTCGTAATCGATTATCGCCGCGAGTATTCCCGGCCTTAGTATTCGCTTCGGCCTCCCGGCGTGCGCGGGGAATCTTTATCATAACCTCACTTTGCTTGCCAAATAACGCAATCACGCTTCAGCATCCTCTTCCGAGCAGCCATCGTTGTTAATAATTATTCGGGAATCTTTATCATAACCTCACTTTGCTTGCCAAATAACGCCATCACGTTTCAGCATCCTCTTCCGAGCAGCGATCGCTATTAATAATTATTCCCAGACTCCTGGACGTCGGTAAATCTAATAAATAACAATTAGATTGAGGAAAGAGGTTTTGGGAAATGTCGGAAGTAAGTTTCTATTGTCGCGGTTAACCTTCGAGACGTTAATTTCCCGGCGACTCGGCGAGCAGCCTGCACCGACGTTAAGCCTTAATACCAGCTGCAGGTGGTCGCAGGTGTCTCGTTAAGCCGCAGGTACTTAGTATGTACGAGAGTACACGCAGCAGGACTTTAAAAACAATGAGGCGACATTGCCGGACGAACAGTCCGTTCTCCGATCTCGCGCCTAGATAGACCTGCCTCCGAATCCGCCGAAATCGCCCTGCACTGCTCGCCGCGTCCGCCATTTTGTTCTCGAGTCCCGACACTCCGCCGCCATTTTGGATCCAAGAGATATCACCGAATTCTCGCGCAGTTTTTCAATATACGCTTTTTATCGACTGTTAACGCGCGAAACGTGCGAGGATTTCAGTGTAAATTGGAAATAGGAAGTGACGTGATCGATTTCAAGCAATCATTGGTGGAAATTGACCGGAAAATGTAGAATCTTCTCTCAAAAGTCGTCGACCGTGACATATCGCCCAATTCCCGCACAGTTATGCAACGACCGATTTTTATCGACTACCAGTGTACGAAACGTGGGAGAATTTCGGTGACAATTGCAAGTGGGAGGATAATGTGACCGATTTCGGGCGATCATTTGCGGGAATTGACTCGATGAGGTGGAAGTTTGTCGGAAAGTCGAGATCCCGATGACGGCGTGACATGAGCGCGGGGAAAAAGAGGAATCTCCTGAGGGACGCGAAGGACGAGGTGGAGCTCGATAGGCAGAAAAAGCGGAAGCATGGAAAGGTGACCGAATAATTAATTTCCCGGGCTTCTTTTTCTCACATTTCTTGCCCTACTCCTCGGCTTTCTTCTCCTCCGGGGCAGGGAAGATGCGCCATTAAAGGCGCCTTTTTACCGGGCGGCCATCTTTTGCGTTGTTACACGGGCACGGGCAATGTTTGTTGCAGCTCGCGGCGATAGCACTGAACTTCAGTGTTCTGGTTGCAGCCATTTACGAGGGCATTTACGCGAGGCGAGGAGGCGACCCGACGAGGCTCAGGGAAGTTCCCGATTCGCGAGCGGCGACCATAAACAACCCCGGATATCGGGAACATCGGCACCCCACCAACGGTGAGAGACTTCCCCTTTTCATCGCCTTAATTACCTCGAAGTCAAACTTCGAAGGTAAATCCGACGAGCTCCTCAATTAAAACCCCCACGACGAGCCGGCGCTCCGACGAGCGACGCCATCTTGCGCGTCCCCGTTTATACGTTTTAATTAGGTCTTGCCTCGTCTGTTTCTTTATTCGTCCATCGGTCGGCTGTTCCTTGGGAAGAATTACATGATTTGCCTCGAGATGCTCGATTTCGGCTAATTTATCCAGAATTACAGACTCTGTAAAGCGAGACACCCGGAGATATCGCATTCGCCGAGGTGCAAGCTGACGCGTTCTTGCGAGTTCAGTGACGTTTTCTTTATTTCTTATTAACATCTAAATTGATACACGCTGAATTTTTATCCAGAGTTTTAATCGCGACTAGTTTGCCTTGAATTTTGAGATAATGGAAGGTGGAGTATACCCGCAAACTGCATCTCCGTGATGCAAATTGACGCGCCCTTGCGAATTTACCGACGCTTTCAAAATGGCGGACGCCCCGCGCCACTTAGAGAGTGACGCGCGTCTGCATCGCTTGTAATTGTACTCGCAAGGATGGTTCCTGTCGAATTAACCCGTGGAAATTACGTTACGTTTAATTACCGGCAAATTCAGACGCAGCGGCAGACAATGGACGGCGAGAAAAAGGTCAAAAGGTCTCGTCGGGGAGATTTCCTATTTTCAAATTTCGCGGCACTTCGAGGAACAGCCGTCCCGACGGAAGTGACTGGCAGATGACTTCCCTTTGTCGTGTAATGGCACACTTCGAGAAACCGTCCATGGACGTAATCTTTTTGCTATTCTTCGGAGGCGCGAAGAATCGTTGCCTCGTCGGCTCCGGGAAAATGGAGAAACAGCCGCCGCCATCTTGTCTAGGAATGGCGGCGTCGCGGGAGCGAAATATCTTGCAAATACCGCAATTTGCAAATAATTGGTATCGAGTACAACCGGCGGATGGGGAACCATCTTTCCTGTTTAATTCGATTTTCCCGCCGACCTTGATGAGTAATCGTAGAGGAGGGGACGCGATGCGAACTGCATATAAAGAAATGTGAAACGCGGCGTGGAGAGCGATCTAAGATACGATTCCCTCGGGGAATTGTCTCACAAGTTGAGCCAACTTTGTCTAACTTCTTCTTCTTTCCGGGTTCTCGCAATGGCGGACAAAAAAGCGCGACGCCATATTGCGAGCCGCGCGATCCTGTTTCCCTTTTCTTTTTATCGCAAACTCGCGAATGGGGGCATTTTCATTGCGAGGAAGAAACGGAACGCGACGCCATGTTGGAAACCATGCGATTCCTTTTCACAATAATTGAAAGGTACACTTTTAATATTCGTTTTATCACCATTAAGAATTCACTCGTTCAAGATTGCGAAGAAGAACTGGAAGGCGACGCCATATTGGTAAACCTTGCGTTTCATTTCTTTTTTCTTTCGCAATAACTAATCGATGCATTTTTAATATCCGTTTCATGGGATTCGCGACACAGGGGTGATTACTCCGATTTAATTTGTTTTTTTTTCTCACAGGAGGAAACATTTCCATGACGGACTCCAGCGGTAAGCCTTACGCCGGCGGCGCCGGAAACGGGTCCATGGCGTCGGTCGCGACTTCCGGGAGCGTCGCGAGCACGGCATCGCCCCTGAGGAGTTCCCTGAAGAAGCCGAAACCCCTCGGCATCCACAATCCCGGGTTTTCGGCACACAGTCCGACCCTCTCGAGGAATGGCTCCCAGAAAAAGGTCCGCATTCAGACGCACTCGACGGAGGTTTGAAGACCCCGAAGAGGTCCCTGAAGAGTCTCTCCTTCTGCCTCTGGCGATAATCGGTAGGGCTAATCGAGGTCGCCTCGAGTCTGGAAGACATGTGCGACCATGTGATATCATTTCACAAGGTAATTCTTCTTTTTTCTTTTTCTTTCTCTTCCTCTTCTCGCCACTTTTAGCGGACCAAAAGTCGTCGTTGTGGTGATCGTAAAACTCAGAACTTATCGAAAATGCCCGACAATAAGAAAAGAGGAGAATCGCTCCTCTTGAGATTTCCGTCCCGATGAGAAGCGAATCTCTCGACTTTTATGACGTCAATTGTTGTGTTCTAATTTTATTTCTCCATTTTTCGTTTTATTTCATCCTCGGCGATGGCCGGGGACGACAAAGGACGAACTGGACGCAGACCTCACATTCGATGGGTACTTTTAACTAAGACGAATTTTTTACTCTCAACCCCTCGATTGGAGAGAAAAAAAATCCCCCAAATATTCACACGTTTGGTAAATAATTCCCGATGTAATTTCCAATTGTCGCCGACATGTCGTACGCCATTTTGAAAGAATTCATCGAACGCCAAACGAGGTCCGTGTCTGCCGGGAAAAGTAATACTTATTAAGATAGGAAAAGTGTATCCGTCCAGCCCTCGTAGGCAGCTAGCCGTGAAACGGCGAACAGAGAGCTATATATGTATATTATACACGATTATAAATATATATATATACAAATACATTGATATAAAGATATTTATATTTTTACTAATTGTTATAGCTCGTAGAGACGCGCGAAAAAGAAACGAGCGGAACGTTTTCTTGAGTCCGTCCTTACTCCCTTTTCTTTTCTTTTTTTTTTAACGGAGTTTTATTATCCTCGTTGCTTTTGACATTGTTATTATCATGCGACCGCCGGTGTATCGCTTAAAAGGTTTTTTTTTTTAAATGTTTGGAATTGTTTCGATCATTATTTTCGCCGAGACGTTGTCGTTGACTTCGGACTTCTCAAGTCTCGTTTTCTTCCTTCTCTTTTTGACTTGGTAGTATTTATCCCGTAGCTGTTCTTTTCGTATGATTTCTCGAAATTATGAGTAAAATTGACAAATATCTTTCCTAGCTGTAAGCACCCTATTTATTTCGTCGCGCACCTTAATGTCGGTGATTACAGTTACGACGTAACGAGCGTGGTGTACTCGTTCGTGTGGAAGGGCCCATTTCGGTTTTTTACTGACTGGAAGTAACTCGGCCGAAGGTTTCCTTGAAAAGGAAAATCGTCTTGGAAAGGACGCACCTCCTTTGCAATGACCGATCTTCGAACGACGCGAGTCCTGGAAAAAAAAAATGAAAAACGTTCACCGACGGCTGGAAAAAATTAAAGAAATTATAAACATCAAAATTCGACATTTTTAATTTCAACCTACCAAACATCTGGATGTAAAATTGAGGAGACTACAACTAGGAAAAGATCGACGACGGGGTAATAAAATTCTTCCGTCAGAGGGAAAATAATTATCAGAGGGTTGAATTATGGAATTTTTGTTTTCCTTTTTATCATCTTTTGTCGTATCGAGCGGTTTAACTCGGGACTGAATAATTTGAAGGTTACTTCGGGGAACCATTTTGATGAATATCGACCCCGGAATTACTGGCCTTGAGGGGTCAGGGGTCGTATTAATCTCGGGGGTGAATTTCGCGGAGTCCTTTGAGGAAAAATTGCGCATTGAAATTGGCCGATAAAGGAAATGGGCTTTATCCTCGGAATAAACTTATCCGGGGGAAATTATTCTCCCTTCGCGTAAATCCATCCAAGTCGTAGATAAATCCTCCACGTTCCAATAAAAGAGCGCGTTCATCGGAATTACTTTAAACCCCGAAGACGAGACGCGTTTCTGGAGAACTTCGTTTTTTCCAAGATGGCGGCCACGCGGTTTCATCCATAGCAATTTTAAAGCGCTCCGATATCGCTCAGAAGTCGATACCTGGGCTCGAAAGTAATGAAGAAGAAGCACCGAGGACCTTAAGCTTTGTACGCTTGTGTAGCGAGTATGTAAATGGCTGTGCGTGCGTATGATGTACGTATATACGTGCAGTACCGCTCATACATATCGAGACGCTCGGTGAAATTCCTGAATTTCAAGAATGTATAAAGAACACGAAACTATGAAATAAATTACCGTTACCAGAAAGGCTCGGTAAAGTAATAAATACGTATTAAATAAATTCCTTAATAGATTAATGAGTAGTTAAAAAAAAAGGCAAAAAGTGTCATAGCCCCCTTACGTACCGAAATTGTATGAGCGGTAATGGACGTACACATGGCGGATCACGAGAAATCCTGTAAATAATCCTGTAAATCTCATTTTTATCCGCAAAACGAGCATTAACGAATCGGCAGCCAAGTAAGTCCGTTGTTTAATAGAGAAGTTTATAAGTGCGAGATTGTACCGGAGTAAGTGCGCGAGGTTGAAGAATAAATTGATCGAGCAATATGAAATCGTGACCCATTCCCTCCCCAGAAATCGGGTGCGAGTTCCTCCATCGAGTAGGTACAAAATTAATATTCATTTATTAGGTCTTACAGGTTGAAAAATCTTAACGGTTTAGCAACGAATCGCTAACGAGCCTCGCTCCCGAGGGATTCCTCTCCTGGAGGAAAATCGGGAGAAAAAAACCGTTTCGCCCTCTTCGGGGTCCTTTGGACTTAGGAACGACGTTGAAGCCCAAGGGGAACCGGAAGAACGCTTCTTCGGTTCTCCAAATATACCATAGATGCTATTCCGGAGTTCTCCAAGGGTACATCAGCGGAGACCTTGAAGACGACCACATGAGACTTCTGGAAGACGAGCGATTCCACTTCAAGGAACATTTTCTTTTCGGCATCAAAAGCATCTCCCGTATGGAGAACGTCTTCGGTTCTCCAAGCGTTCTCCAGGTATTCTTTCCCGGAGACCTTGAAGACCACCACATTAGTCTTCTGGAAGACGAGCGATTCCTCTTCAAGGAACATCTCTTCGGCATCAAGAACATCTCCTACCTGGAGAACGGCTTCGGTTCTCCAAGCATTCTCCAGGTACTCTTCCCCGGAGACCTTGAAGTTCACCACCTAGGAACTCTCGACGACAAACGATTCCTCTTTGGGGAACATCCCTCCACCATCAGAAATAGCTCTCGCGATTTTTAGGAGCGCTCGATATGAGTTCCCGGCGTTTCCAGACGGGCGCCGGGACGCTCTTCGGGGTCGGCGTCGCTGGAGACGCGGAAGTGCTCGACCTCTCTCCACTTCTTCCAGCGAGGGCCTCCACGTCGGGGATGTGTCTCGTCTGGTGCCTCGAGTCGGTGTAGCGTCTCTTCGTGTATTTCTTGCTGTCCGCCGACGTCGACGTCGACGTCGTGGCGCCGCCGGCGCCGGGAGACCGGCTCGACTCCGGCTTCGTGATGTGCAGCATCCTCTCGATGTCGGCGGTCTTCGACCTGCAAATAGGAAGTATAATTAATATCGGCCCACGTAGATGAAATGAGAAAAATTGCATATTCATTCGATACTTGCACCTCCATTTTCTTTATTTTAATTTTTCAACGAAATCCACGGAAAATTCTGCATTTTTTTTTTTCACCCTTTCGCTGCTGAGGACGTTTATATACCCCCAGCATTTCGCGCATTATAACCTGTTCGTGTTCGTGAAATTGAAAGTCCTTGGCAATGAAAGGATTAAAAAGATTCTCTATAAATTTGTAATTTCCTAAACTAAATTTATACGTAAATTATTAACTAGTTTCTTCCAGGATATTAGGGGAAAATTAGGACGCCATACCTCATGACTGCGCCACCGATGCTGGTGATGCTGGGGGTGTAAGGAGGCACGGCGGCAGCCATCTTGACTGCACTTTCTTGGGTGGAGGTCCTTGAGATCTGGCGGACAACTTCGGTGGAAGTCGTGATAGACACCCTTTGAAGAACCGCCTGTTGATCAGGGATGTAGGAAAGGGTCGTGACGGCGCTGTCGGGACTCGCGGGTGGACTGGAAGTCCAAGATGGCGGCGAGCTCGGCATTTGGTCTCCGGAAAGCGTCGCCGAAGAACCCACCGCACTGTCGCTCCCGTGCCTGCCACCTGAACCATCCATTACCTTCACTATATACATAACCTTATTTACTATACCAATGAATCGCCTACTAGATAATTTAGATTATAAAGCGACACACTACATCTTAGGACGCTGCCTCTTGACTGTACAAAATGGCGGCCGCTTGCCCTAACATTTGTCGATGCAATCCGAGTCTAATTAATCTGACGATTGGGGCAACCGGCCTTAAATTTCCCATTTTGTACATCAAATTGAGCAAGTTCCTTTAATTTTCTAGGGAAATAATGTAAGTTAAGTCATAAATAGTACGAGTCGACTACTTCTTCCAGATGCGGTAAAACTCTAGAAATAAAAGACATAGTTCGAAGATAAATGCAATTTCTCCCGAGATGTCTGGGCAAATCGATGGTTTTCTACTTCACGGCAAATTAATTATGGAATTACAGTGAATTCAGATCGAAGGAAAACTTGAATAAGCAGGGTCTCAGGATGCAGAAGCGACGAAAGGAAGTGCACCTTCGCTGCAGCCGGAAATGGACCTCTGCCTTTGTCTTCTTGGAGGTACGCTCGGAAGTTTGGTGCTCTCCTCTATGTAGGGGATGTCGGGGTCGTCCAGGTTTAAGACAAAGGGTCCCGACATGGGGATGGTGAGGCTGGCGGTGATGACCATCGGCGAGGATTTCCTCCTGTCGGAGGGATCCTCGCTGGAGGCGCTGTCGACGCTGTTGCTGCGACCCTCGTCCTTCCTTCTGGTCCCGGGTCGTTTTGGCCTCCGAGGCCTGGGCCCGATGTCGCCACCCACCCCGGCACTCTGGTGGAGACACTCTTCCCTGGACCAGACCTTCCTGGAGACGTTTTCCTCCACGGAGTACACCTCCGCCTCGCTCGACGGGTCCACCTCGTCGCCGCATTGCCTGAGGAGAGGACGTCGAGATTATGGGGTCTGGACTTCATGGGAACCGGGACCAACCACGGGGACAGACGCAACCCCTGATCGCGATACCACCGACCAGCGGTTAGGTGATAAGAGAAGCGATAATGGGACCGGTTAGGCCGAAAGAGCTGGTGTTAGATGGAGAAGAGCCTGGATGACCTCGAAGAGAATTACAGGGTATCGCGTCTTCGGCGAATGAAGAGCTCTTCAAGGTCAAGGTCGCTGGCGTCGAAAAGTTTCCTGAGAATTTGGCGTACCGAATTTTTATAAATTTCATCACGGGGATGTGGGGACTCTGAGGAAGGTCCTGACTCCTGTGAAATTGAATTCTCATGAAAGGTTTTCAAGTAAACGTGAAATTTCATGGGTCGAGAGACCTTCCTTAAGACCTTTACAATCGTGTGGTAGAATTTCGAACGATTCGGTATGTCTAATTCGAAGAGATTAAGTGTATCATAAACGACTCATTCTTCGATTTCATTCTCACCCTGCCTTAAAGAACTCTTCGAGGCCAAGGTCGCCGGCATCCTCGATCAGCGAGTCGCGGTTCAAGCAAAAGGCGGGATAACTCGAGCGGCTAATTGTTTAATGGTTACTTAATTTAATTTAATTTTAAGCGATGAAAAAGACTCAATGGCTGGACCAAAAGCTCGCGGCCGGTCGGAGGTCGAATCTAAAAAAGCCCCACCCCGCCAGCGGAAATGCAAAGGCAACGTTTTGCGACTTTTTCACTGACAAAAGAAAATCCCATCGAACCAAAGAAATATCTCATTGTATGGTACCAAAGAAATATCACTTAATTTCACTCAAATGAACTCGAATATATGAGACGCAACCTTTCTTCGGAACTATCCCAATTCATTTGAGTTTATTCGAGTCAAATAATTATTCCTTTAATCGGCGAAATATTTCTTTGGTACCTGTCAAAGAAACATGACTGGCCGAATGGATTCTATTTTCTTTCTCAGCGTTCTGCCTCCGATTTCCGGTTTTATCGTGCCGCCATTTTGAAAGAGCTCGCCAGGATCCGAGATGAAGGTCTTACTCCTCGGCACGCCGCGAGAGGGCAGTGTCCAGCTCGGCTGGATGGGTGTCCATCATATGCAAATAAAGTTCGTCCAAAAGGGCTGCCGGGACGATGAACAGAGTCGAGACATGTTCCAGAAGTGCTCGTACCACGTTTATCACGTCTATCCTCTCCTCCGCCCTTTCTGCAGACACTTCCGCCCTTGCCTGGCCATGCTTCACGCAGTGAAGAATATTCGGCGCGAACACCTAATCAAAGATGACAAAAGTCATGCCAAATTACATCCCGTCCATACTTCCTCAGCCTGTTAATTTTCCACCGTGAGTTTGCATCCCGAAAAAAAAATATATATATTTTTCACGTGACCAGAGAAATATTTCTTAGAACGGTACCAAAGAAATATATTCTCAAAACAAAGAATAATTATTTCCCTGAAACAAGTCGTCGCAATTGCGAAGTAATTATTCTTTGAATTAAAAATATATTTCTTTGGTTAAATGTATTATGAGATTATGCGGAGAAATTCATTCAAGCTCGGGGGAGAATTTTAGAGGGAAAATGTCGAGAATTGTAATTACGGTCGCCAGGTTGGTAGTGTCCATCTTGTTCCCGGATATCCAGTCGCCGGTTTCCGTTTTTTTGTCCTCACTGTTTGAAGCAACCTCGCTCAGGAAGTTCAACAATGCCCAGAGCGTCTCTCGATTCGGGGTCGGCAGAAGTTGGATCAGATGCTGAAGAGCTTCCTGCTGAAGCCTCCTGTTCCTGATCTCTGGAGGGAACGGGGCGAACCCAGGATTTAAACTCTAGTTGCGAGGAAAGATATCGTATAATTCCTATGATTAACCTACTCTGGGTGTGCACGAAGGCTTGATAAAGGTCTCTGCACAGCAGAGGATCTGGTAAATCACGAAAATACTCCTTCATTAAGGCTGCGACGTCATGTGGACACTGATCGGGACCGATCTTCGTTTGCCTGCCGCAATCGAAGTCTTCCCTTAGCTGAAAAAAAAATAAATAAATAAATATACGCACATTTCAACTTCAACGAAAATAATCCTTCATTTTCTATTTAAATTGGAATTTTCCTTGGCATTAAATTAAAAAAGATATCAAACCAAGTGTCATATTAATAAAATGCAATTTGAACTGCGCGCAATTTTTTATTTCTTTTAAAAGAATGAAGAACGGTTCAAGGACCAATAGGGAATAAGTGTACCCACGAAATTGTAATTTTTTTCGTAAATGCGTTATGCGTGAATTTAATAGTTTGGAGTGGCCATTTTAACGAAGGAAAAATTCAAAGGGAATTCACCTGTCGGACTCTCTTCTTGGACGGCGAGACCCTGAAGATGCCGAGGGTCCTCAGGCCGGTCGACTCGAGATGTCTGATGCACTGGTGCACCACTCCTGGAACTGCATCCCATTCCCCTGGGGGTGCTCCACCCCCGCTGTCGCTTAGTTCTAAACCTCCGGAGTCACTTCCGGTGAGCGCTCCTCCCTTCAAGGACAACGACTCGCAGGATCCACCCTGAAATGGCGAGACGTTACTTCAGGGCTGATTTTCCGGGTGATGGAAAATCGCGTCTTGCGAAATCAACCCCCGGATGTCGGGATAAATAATTTTTCGTCAGCGATAAAAATGTTCACGATGTGATTCGACGACGCAAGGAGGCCCCTGTTCATGGCTGTCATGAAATCGTTAAATAAAAACCGTTGCAAAGTTGAGCGATTTTAATTAATTATGATGGAGAGTCGCGACTCGCAGGCATCAACCCCCGGATCTCGGGGTGAATAATTTTTCGACGCCGGTAAGGACGCCGACGACGTAATTCGACGACGCAGACGCTCGTCGACGCGGGGGGACCCTTGCTCTTGGCTGCCGCGATACCGTTAAATAAAGACCGTTGCAAAATTGGGCGATCTTAATTAACCGGCGAATAAAATTAGCGGACCCGGCCCTGTTCTATTTGGGTTTCCTGATCGGTGACGTCGGCTCGCTGAGGTACACGTGACGTCCCTTGCGCGACGAACTCCATCGACCGATCTTTAAAAAAACCTTTAATGCCGACTCGATACCGTTTCAACTTTATATATTACTTTGCAGATCAAGGGAAAATTGATGAGTGAGTCGATGTCACTCGAATCGAGCTGGAATTTGAATCGAGTCAAGTGGAGTCTGATTTGAATCCATTTCGAGCTAAGCTCGTATCAAGTCGAGTCAACTCGAGTCCAGTTCGCGAAAAGCTGGTCCCATGTTGAGTCGCGTTTAAATCAAGTCGAATCTAGTCGAGTCCAATTGAAGTAAAGCTCGAATCGACTCGAAGCGACTTCTGCCCAAGTCGATCCCCGGCGCCGCGAATCCCATTTCCTCTTCCAGGGAGAAAATAATGCCATCCGTCGCCGTCAACGTCACCGACGAGCCTGGAAGCGGCTGGAGAACGTTGATTTCCGAAACAAGGGAGAATCCCCTCCACTCTTCCACCCCGACCAGGACGTCCGAAGGATCGGATTCTCCCCCAGGACGGGAAGCGCGTCGAAGCTCTGGAAACGTCATTGGGAATCGCGCCAATTCACTTTCGGAGTGATCCACGGATCGCGTTACCCCACCCCATGAGGAACAAAGGGTGCAACCAAAATCCAGAATTCCCATCCTAGACACCCCGAAGAGGACACCAGGGTGGAACTCTCGCATTTTTTGGGGGAAAAAAAAATTTAGGGGATAGCGAAAGGAGCGCTTTTGGGGTTGGGCCGGCCAAGCGGGCTCGTATATGCCAGGGATCTTAATTATTTGACGGTTAAATCTGGTCGAGATCTTGGCAGCCGTGTCGTCCTCCTCTCGTAAGCCTGGCCTACGAGTTTACTAGCACCTTTTCCCACTCTTCTGCATCTTTCCTCCACCTTTCTGCACCTTCCCCACCATCCTGTACCGCTTGCAGCGTCCTCGCACGCTGCTCCTCCGCGGCGCCTCTTCTCAGCGACTCCACTCGCTGCTGCTCGTCTCTAGTCGCCTCTGGTTATATCTCCGTCCATCTCTAGCCGACTCGAGTACAAGGCACCGTTTAGCTCGGTGACGTATCGAGCGAAAAATAACCACCCTCCCTCCAAAGCCCCGAGGACGTCGCGACGCCGGATCGCCTCTTCGGGGTCCGACGTGTCGTCACTACGACGCTTCTCTTCGGCGTCTTCGATGAGCTCGTCGCCGTTGTGACGCACCTGGATCGACGAACGTTTTACAGGCGTGCCGACTCGCTTTGGCAAAATGGCATAATCCAACCTAACCACTGATAACGCTCTTCAGGGTCGCGGGCGTCGATAACGAAGACCAATCGGGTCGCTTTAGGTTTTGCTTAGGTGCTTTTCATGGTACCTGATTTCTCGGGAATTTTGCAGTGCTCCTTTTTTTAACGTCCCATCCTTATCTCCTTATTTTCACTTAAGGTTTTTGCTCGGGAATTTTGTAGGTCCTCCATTTACAATTTTTTATAACGATTCATCCCGTCCTTACCTCCTCGTTCTTCGTCGCCGCACTCGTCGGGGCCTCGATGAGGCTCGTAAAGCTCGTCCTGCTGCCATGTCTACTGCTTCTGGTTAAACTTGCAACTTCTGCAGCTTCACCAGCCGCTATCCGAGCTATCCTGTCGTTCTCCAGACACTGTGATAAGGGGATGCCGAACACCAACCCTCCGGCGCTCTCTGAAAAAGAATTTGGAAATTTCGTAAAAACTCGCAAGAATTCATGTGACTATAAATTTACAAAAATTAATCGAGGAAGTCGGAAACAAAAGTTTCCAAAAATTTATGTGGCCTAAATTGAACATTTTTCCTAATCACGTTATCACTGCATCTTTTTTATTCAACTAGGGACCTCCTCGAAATGGAATTCGCCGTTTGGAGGATTTTAGGTAACCGGGTCCCGGGTGCGCGAAAGGGCGACTAAATTTATATGCGTTAAGCAATAAATTCCAAAAGATGGACCTTAATCGAGGAAATCTGAAAAAAAAATTCCAAAAATTCATGTGGCTCCAAATTGAACATTTTTCCTATTCACGTTATCACTGAATCCTTTTTATTCAACTAGGGACCTCATCGAAATGGAGTTCGCCGTTCGGAGGATTTTAGGTAACCGTGTCCTAGGTACGCAAAAGGACGACTTAATTTATTTGCGTTAAACAATAAATTCCAAAAGATGGACCTTAATCGAGGAAAACTGAAAAAAAATTTCCAAATTTCATGTGGCCCAAATTGAACATTTTTCCTAATCACGTTATCACTGCATCCTTTTTATTCACCTAGGGACCTCATCGAAATGGACTTCGCCGTTCGGAGGATTTTAAGTAACCGTGTCCTAGGTACGCGAAAGGACGACTTTAGAATTTATTTGCGTTAAGCAATAAATTCCAAAAGATGGACCTTAATCGAGGAAATCTGAAAAAAAATTTCCAAAAATTCATGTGGCTCCAAATTGAACATTTTTCCTAATCACGATGTTACTGCGTCGTGTTTATTAAACAAGGGACCTCTCCGAAATGGAGTTCGCCGTTCGGAGGATTTTAGGTAACCGGGTCCCGGGTGCGCGAAAGGGCGACTAAATTTATATGCGTTAAGCAATAAATTCCAAAAGATGGACCTTTATTGACTCGGACGTCGAATGGGCGCGGAGTCGAGGTTCCTTTTGGCATCGGGAACCCGAATGCCGAAGAAACCAAGTCCCTCATAGAATGGCAGAACGTCCCATTATAGATCGCGATCTGGGCCATTCGAGCTCGTTCGCTCCTTTCCGAACTCTTCGACCGTGGCGATATGGATAGTCTCGCTTTTTCCGCGAAACCGAAAAAAAAAATCAACCCACCCCCTCCCATCGTCCAGAAACCATATTAAAAAAAAAGAACTCGTGCATCAAAGAAAAATAATAAAACCGCTGCGACCCAGGTTTTTATCAAAAACATAATGGACTCTTAACGTTCAATCTTGAAACGCGAATTAATTGGGAATTTAAAGAAATTTCGTTTTTGATTTCCAGATATTTATTTTTTATCTAAACCGTTTTTAGTTAATGGAAAGGATGTTAAACGTTTACGCGTTGCATTTGAACCCTTATGTTCCTCTTTTGCGTGCTTTGAGAAATATTTCACCCCATTTCTCGGATGAAGCGGTAACCCCTTCACTTCCGGTTTCTCTTTTATTGCATGCGAAAAAGACCATCGTCCTTCTCTTTCGGACAGTTATTTGCAAAGCTCTCGGGCGAATTCGAGCTTCGCAAAATTGCCGGCCATTCCGGAAAACCGTGGATTTCCGTTTCGATCCGTGGGCCGATAAGCGGCGCGATAAATATCGATCAGACCTCCAGGTCGACCTCGAAGAGGGGATTCCCTCGGGAAGAAAAGAGCTCCTCTCTGCGAAATTAATCTTCGGCTTCCTTGGGGACGCCGTAATGCCTCACTTTCGATATCGTTGCCCGAAGGCCAAATGGGACGGTCCTTTATCCTGGCAGAGACGAGTTCGCGGCCATTTTGAATAGCGCTTGGACCATTTGTCGACAAGGGATGATACCCCAAAAAGGGCGAAACAACCCCTGCTCTTCGTCAACTAGCATTCCCTTCTCGAGACCGAAAATTAGGTTAAATAAAAGAACACTCCGATGCTCCCACGAAGCGTGTACTGCAATTTTAATTCATAAAAAATAGGAACTACATTTATCACGCACTCGTAGATGCTCTTCCTTTAGACAGTATTAATTTCCATGAATTAGTTTCACCCGATTTCGATAACGTTTCGATTCACGATTTAATTTCATGCGGTATTTAAACGTATTATAAATATCAGCGAGTCGTTTTTCCTGCACCGCGTAGAGTCTCACCCGAACATATTTTTTAATTTTGCAAACTTAAAAAAATCAGGACCTGTTAATTCGGGAACATCGAACGTACATTTAAATCGTAGGACGACTTTGGGATTTTTTGCGAATATTTTCGAGATTAGAAATCAGGTGGATGCCCGAAATCCGCGTCTAATTACCTTTGACTTTGGCATTCCGGGGACCTTGCCCCGGATGCTGCGAATTCGCGGAAGAAAAGTCCTTTGATCCGAGATGGGTCTCCCCGATCGCGAATTCTCCGAGTGAGTGACCTCTTCGCAAAGAGACTTCGGCTTGATTGACGTTTACCGTGCCTACTCGGCATGCACCGCAAATAAACCCGATATATGCGGAAATATGCACCTCGCACCCCGCCGCTAATTTTAGAACTCGAAATTGTGCCTCATACCAGCCCGGCCGATGCAGTTCCGCGAGACGCTCTTCGGGGTCGTCCCCATGGTCGCCACCTCCCCTAAACAATTACCCAAGTCTTCTTCCACGCTTTTAAAAAAATACTTGCAAATTTCCGCGGCTCCGCGAGACGCTCTTAAACTGACTCTTCTCCACGCCTTTAAAAAACCACTTGTAAAATTTACACTATTTTCAATCAAAGTTACCCTACAAAGGATAATTAATCCAATGACTTAAGTTCGTAAAAATTGGAAATTTACCCAGGAGTTTCCCAGTTTATGCTTTGTATTTTCCTAAAGCAGCTTGGAAAATTAACGAGAAAAAGAATGTGAAATACACATATGAGCGCGTTAGCCGATTTGGGCTTCCGGTACGTGTCGGGAATTTATTACGGTTTTTATAAATGCTCAGGGGCGCGTTTCCGCTGTTTCTTTCAGTCTCGGTCTTCTCTTTGCATGTTTCGCCGATGATCGTGGCCAGGTCGGACTGTTTCCTCGTTTTTGGCGAGATTTTGACCGAGGCCCGAGCGCATGGGGATTTATTTCCGCGCCGGCAGCCAAATTAGCTCAAGCCTGCACGGCGGAGCCATGTCGGCGTCCAGCAATAGCCATCCTCTCCTATTAATAGTCAAACAAGAGGGAAGTTTCGTCCCTCGTCGAGCCTCGGTGTGTGGGAGGTGAGTTCTTCATCTTCCGAGTAAAGATCGCTTCGTGACAAACGGCTCAATGGAGCCCAAACGAAGAGCACCCTCCGATCAAATCGATCCGCGAACCACCTTTAATTCCACTTCGATATCGGCCCCGGAGAATAATTTCCGGCCGGGAAAATGTTTCCCATCCCTCGGAAATGATTTCCCGCTAGAAATACTCGCGGAGGAATCGATTGAGGGTTTACTTTATTTCATTATTTCATTTTCTCTAATATATACCGCGCAGGAAATTCAGGACATTTCTCATGGACTGCTCAAAATGGCGACGGCCGTTTTACCACTTTCTCATTAATCGAGAAAAGTCATATTCGCGGTACATTAAATCGCCAATAAAATGTCAACAAAGGAAATATTTGAAATTTCGGTCATTTTTTACAAATTCACTGGGTGTAATAATGACTCTTTATATTAATTTCATGTGTTTCTTCCTGCATTTAGGGGTGTTGCGATTTTAACGGCCGCCATCTTGTTCGCGCGAGTCAGAAATTTTTCTAAAGGCAGCGGCGAGGCGCGACTTCCTAGGTATTACGAACATAAATATTTACCCGGCGGTAAATAATATGTACCGGGGAATTATTCGTGCACTCGATTGCGCACAACGTCGCAGCTGGATTATTTATTCGCGATACGCAAGACGGAAAGGAAGGAGAGACAACGAGTCGGTGTTGGCGGTGCCAGAGGCGCGTTGTAGCGAGGGCCGCGTTTTAACGCGGGTTTTACGAAAATATAAGCAGAAGTGCCTAATTCCGTCCTGGTGGTTATTTCGGGAGAAACTCGATATTAAAAATTCTTGCCCCAAATCCGCGGGGGCACGTGCGCATGATCGATCCTCCTCTTGGAGGCCTCGAAGAGCACCTCGAAGAGCTCCTCGAAGAGGTCCGTTTGTTTGCTCGGCCTCGTCATATCTCCGAGGAATTTCGCGAAATGGGCCCGACTTCAACATTCGGCAATCCGATTCCTCCGCGTGGGTGTGCTCGACTTTTTCCCCCGAATTCTCTTGCCCACGTGGAGGGACTTTCTACATTTTGTAACGCGTACGGTAAATATTTACGCCAGCCGAAATCCCTCGCGAACAGCGCCGCTTTTCTCCCCGGTTTCAGCTAATTATAAGCCGAGACCTAACCGCGAAATTAGCGACCAAGTCCGTGGATAAATCCCCTATTTTTAGGTAATTAAAAAATAAATGCTTTGGCTTTTAGGAGCTGCGATGGTAATTTCAAGATGGCGGAGGTAGACGCGTCGACGTCGTCATCACTGACCCAACTCGCGCCTTTACTACTAACGCGTGTTAATCAACTGCAGGTAAATAATTAAAGGAATAGTTTTATATTCATGTTCCCTAAGAATTTAAGTAATTAGAAAAGTTCTAGTGACACTTTTATGTCCACAAACGAGAATTCCAATGTGGCGGAATAGGACGCGCCGACTTCCTCGTGTCTGACCCGACTCCCGCCTCCACTACTTGTTCCTTGGAAATTGTCCCCGAGGAGGTCCTTGCCCCAGAAAATGGATTACAGCATAAAAGTTTTCTCATCGAACCTCTGGACTCCTCTTAACTTTCCCTTCCTGGACATTTCCCAATTTTCCTTCATCGATACGGGACAATGACACGCGTTGCGAATTAATTGCGAGTTGATAATAAAAATGGGGTTATCATTATTTTTCTGAAAAATTCAGTGACTCACCCTTGTCCTTTTCGTCCTTTGTCTTGTTATCGAAAAATCCAGTGGTGAGAGCCTTCCTCTTCAGCAAGTAAGCCCTCCTCTTCGGCTTTGTGGCCGTGGCGCCGCCACTCCCGAGTTCTGAAAGAGTTCGAGCAGTTTCAATTAAATTCTCACCCTCGGGGGTGAAAAGGGTCTGGTTTATTAGATCCCCTGAAATGAGACTCGCGGTAATGAGCAATTTACCCCGGTCACGTGATTTGCCGAACCTCGTTACTCTCCTTCGAGAGACCGCCGAGCTCGGTCTCCGGCTTCTTAAACGCGTCGCCATTGAACATTTCTTCCCTTTTCTTACAAATTTCAAAACACACATTTCGCTTATTTAATCGAATCCGAGGAGTTTACTCGGTTGCGATAACCTCTAATTATTTAATTAAACCTGAAATTAGAAACTTATGGGCTGATATACATAAGTTTCATGTACTCGCGCCTCGAATCATCAATTTCACCAGATCGGGACCTGATCTTTTAATTTCGTAATTTAATTAGATCTTGAATTAGAAATTTCAGGTACCTCTTCAAGAGATGATTTTCAGACTGGTACCTTGAATCATCAATTCCACGCACCTGGCACCTGGATTTCAAGTTTTCCATTTTTTTCATTGGAGATCTAATTTCAGGGTCCTCTTTAGGGGGTGTATTTTTCTACGCTTTGATTTTTTAAATAATCCTCTATTATCATTTTGACGCACCTGTCGGTGGCCTGATGTGCACTCCAAGGTTCAAGGCCTGCAGTTTGGCCACGGCCACTTTGCAGAGAACCTTCCTCTCGACCTCGGAGAGCACCCTGAGGGGTGTATCCTGCAGGGTAACTCGTCTACCCCCTGTACCTGCCCACGTGCACTTTCCCTGGAATGCAAATTCGGTAATTCAACTCTCGGTACAGGCTTTCAAGGAGAGAGCACTCAGTCTTGAAGAAGTTACCGCCTTTTCCGAAGAACCCGGAGGGTGAAAAAAAAAGGACCATCACCCTGAAAACTGCCCTTGAAAACGCATCTCCACTTGGCCTGTTTCGATTACCTTCGAGTTTGCGATTCGACCCGACGATCGAATTTCAAGAGCCGGTCGAACGCCTCTCGAATTTCGATATTTCCGCGATTTCCCCGGAAAAAAAACGCTTTTCCACCCCCCCGACTCGAATATCGCGTTTCCGAATTTTCAGCGCGTTTTCCCTGAGCCGTAAAAAAAATACTTGTTCGATTTTTCTTAGTTTCAAGGTCAGGACAATTATTGAATTCACTAGAGCTTGCAAAATCCACAAATTTTGGGAATTTCTTCATTTTGAGAAGACTTGAGAAAACTAAAGTAAATCCCGGAATTCCGTCTCTTCTGCCGAGCCTTAAAAAATCGAAATCCTTCATTTAATTTCAGTTATTAAAAATTGCAGATGTGTGAGATTTTTCAGAATTTTCGGGCAGGTGGGATGCCAGGATCGAGATATCTATTTAAACTATCCAGGCGGAAAATTTAAACTTGCGAACAGCCGAAGAGTCGTCGAACGGAGTTATCGGCCCGAGGCAATGATTCACGAGTTCGATTAAAACTCGGTAAGCAAACATCGATTTTAAAGGCGCCGACGAGTGTTGCTAACCCGTTGCCGGCAAATGTGCCGAGTGCCGGAATGTTTAATTATTCAGTCGATGGTCCGCCATCTTGGCGCGCGAAAACTTCGAATGTATCAAACATTCGGAAACAAATTTTATGGAACCAAAGAAATATTTTCGCAACACAGAAGAATAATGATTTGACTCGAATAAATTCAAATGATTTGGCCCGCGAGGTTTTTTTATTCAGTCGATGGTCCGCCATTTTGACGCGCGAAAAATTCGAATGAACCAACGACGCGGAAATAAATTTCATAGAACCGAAGAAATATTTCAGAGATTAATGATTCGACTCGAATATACTCGAATGATTTGGATGGAACGTTTTTTTTTTTTCAGAATTATGACCGTTTATTGAGCTTATTTGAGTGAAATAATGATGTTTTGAATTAAGAAACTATTTCTTTGGTTCCATGAATTTTCTTTCTCAGTGCCCTCTATGAGGCGATATTCCCTCCCAGATGCGAAAGGCCATTTCTTGGGAAATATTTCGGGCAATGTTCCGCACTTCAGGAACCACTTCGGCTCGTTTGCCGGGAAATTTATGCGGCGCGATCTATGCGTAGCGCGTGCACCGTTAAGCGTGAGAAAGAGAGCGAGAGGAGCTGAAGAAAAAAAAAAAAAGAGCAGAAGAGAGGCCGCAACTATTTCTGGCCGAGTCGAATTTGCCAGGTCCTAAATTGGCGATCATGGCGCCCCCTTAACGAGCCTCTTCAAGGTCGGCCCGAAGAGCTGTCAAACGCGAGAAAAGAAAAAAAAAAAGAAGAAATCTATCTTCGAAGTTCACCGAAATAATTAACCCAGCTCATATATTCTGAACACAAGATGGCGATTGGACGTTTTGCAGCTTTTTTTACGTGAATCTTCTTCACTTAGAGTAAATTCGCCGGGTCTTCGAGTCGATTCCAGCATCGTCGATTAAATCGCTAATTATGGATAATCGCGGGTTAAAGGGAACTATTCAAAGAGACATTTCTGGTTAAATCGTCATAATTCTAAAGAAACGTTGCATCCAATTAATTGGAATTCACTCGAGTCAAAGAATTCCATTTCCAATTATCAAAATATTTCTTCGGTACCATTCAAAGGAGGACATTTGAAATTAAGTGAATTTTTTGTTTTCTCAGTCCAGAGAATTCATTAATTTCCTCGACATCACGTTTCACGGTACAAGAAAGCATTCCCGAAGGATCGGCACAAAGAAGCTGAATAAACCGAGGGAAAAACTGAAACTCACCTGCGGGGTCCAAGCAGAGGGTTGATTGGAGGCCCTGGAGGTGCTCTTGCTCCTAGACCTCCAAATCTTCTTGGCAACGAGTCTGCTCCCATGATGAACAACGCTGCTGGAGGACTTGCTCTTCTGCATGGCGGAGCCACCTGCGGAATTGGAGGACGTAAGAGCAGGTGAGCCAGGTGCAGAATGCGGTTTCTCCTTGTTGGAATTAGAGCCGTGCAAAAGATGGGAAAGAAAGGACTGATGTTGTTTGGGAGTAGACGGGGTATCCTCGGACCCAAGCCCGGCATCCATGGAGCTCCTGGAGCTAGCATTCCTGCTCCCAGGAGAGGCAGTCTCCGCCTCATCGGAGAGACTTTCCCCAAGAAGTACCTCCCCATCGCGGAACCCAACGGTCCAGTTCTCCGACGTCTGGCACCCTTTATGGTTCCCATCGTCATCCCCGATCTTGGTGACTTCCCCCTTGGGCTTGATATTCCTAAGATTCCTGTCATAGTTGACCCTCTTGAACCTGTCCCCCTTCTCGGCATCGATGGACTTCTTCCTAGCCATCCTGAGGTACCTCTTGATGGTGTCGCTAACGGAGGGAGAGACGTCATCGTTATCGACGCTGGACCTGCGTCTGACGGCGAGTTTCCCTGAGGAAGGGGTGTCCTTGGAAGAGGGGGGCTCATCCCGATCCTGGAGATAGGCATCCAGAGCCTCCCTCGACAGGGGGTCGGTCTGCACGCCCTGGTCCACAGGGGCGCGCTCGGTGCTGGGGAGCTGCACGGAGATCAGCGGCGGGGGCTCCGCACATCGCACCTGATCAGCTGATCTCGGAGGCCATGGCCCCTCCCTCCCCCTGAGTTTCCCTCTCCACTGCGCAGACGGCGACGTGTAGGCCCCCGTTGCCCTGGGCCCGCGGAACCCCCTGGTGCACCGCAGGTCGAAGTACAACTTCTCCAACAACTTCCGGTCCGTCAGGATATCCGAGATCACGTGTTCCCTGCTGGAGGACTTCCCGTAATACCTGCTCAAAGTCTCCAGCAAAGATTTGTGCACGTAATCGCCCTGATAAGACAACATGCTCCCAGGGGTCGCATCCCCCGATGTCGTTCCTGAGGTCGTCCCAGCTCCCTTCCGCCGCGCCTGCGCCATCATCTGGTCCAGGTGAAGCTGCAATTTGTCGATAAGACTGTGGTGGTCGAACGGCTCGGCGAATCTGTCGCTGTAGTCGGATCCTGTCGAAGGACGACCGGATTCGTTGTTCATGTTCAGATACCTCTGCAGCATGTCGGCTAGGACCTTCGCCTCGGTGTCCTCTTGAGGTTGGCGTCTTTTCGTCAGAGGGGTGCTGGGGGTGCTGCCCCCCTGCCGGGGTCTGGGGAGTTCCACCCCCTCTGGAGAGGTCTCTTCTAGGAGGGCTTCAGGAAGTGCAGCTCCTGATGAGTCCTCCGCCTCGTCCGCGGAACTTGCCTTCGTTCTGCAGCTTCCACCCTTGATGGCTCTTCTTCGACGTGGGGCACGGAAGCCTAGGGTTCCTGGGTACGACGCTTTCCTCCAGAGCAGGAATCGAGGTTCTCGTTGGCACACTTCCTGGAAGTATTGCTCGATCTTCGGGATGTCTTCCGGACGGTTGTGCACACCTTCCGGGATCAGACGGCGCCCTGCGTCCGTCATGTACCGCCATGTTTTTCGCGTCAGCAGCCACCGCTCTCGAGTTGGTCTCTTCGTCCTCTTCTCCGTTTTCCCGGAAGGAGAGGCGCCGACCTCGACGCTGTCCCGACGAGAACGTCTTCTGCCGCCGGGACGCTCCGCCATCGCCGCCTCTCCGTCTCGTCGCGCCACGCGAACCACCTTGGAAGAGGTGCTCCCTCTTCGGCTACCTCTTCGAGGAAGGAAATGGTCGCACTTGGCTAGGGACGCCGCATCTCCAAGGCGATTGCTTCTTTGGGAATGTCTGGGCCCACCGGTGGCCTTCGAAGTCTTCTTCGGGGGCTTCTTCGGGGTATGGACGAACCCCTTCCACGCGCACTTGGAACCTGGTTAATTTCCAATGTTTGTGTCGGAACACTGAGGCGGGAACCCTACTACAGGGTTCACTTGGATGCTGACGAAGATGCCGAAGAGAGATGCTTGGGACACTTTCCGATTCGCGAGCCCGAAGTACCGGAAAAAATCAATGGCTTCAAGGTATAGTTACGAGGTTACAGTACTTTGACAAAGTTCACGAAAGAGGAAATCGCACTTCCTCGAGTCCAAATATCGGACTCAGACCGTGCCCCACGTGACCAGCCCAATCGGCGTCCTTCAAGGCGAGACCAGACTCTGAGGACTTTTGCGGTCTTCTTCAGGGTCTCTTCGTCGTTCTTCCAAGCGAAGGTGCAACTACCCTGATACACTTCCAGCGTCCCCCCCAGAGTCAACGCATGGAGAAAAGTCACGTCTTCAGGCCGCTCTTCAGGGTGCTCTTCGGGTCCCTGTGCCCGGTCATTCCTGATGCCTTTTTCGAATACTCTCCAAGATTCTTCGGTTAGAGTTGGGACCACTTTCAACCAAGTGGCGATTCCCTTTTTATCCCCGGACGATGAGAGAACTTGGACTCCGCTCACTTCTTCAGGGTATTCTTCATCTTCCTCTGTCAGGTCGTTCCCGGAAAAATTCCCCCTTTTTCTCCAGGAACCCTTAACGTTCTCCAGCTCGGGGGACCACCTTCGCGGTTATCGCGAAGCCCTCTTCAGGGTCCTCGTCTTCGGGCGGCGAGAAAGCCTCGACTCGCCGGCAAGGTGGAAGCTGCCTAAGGTACGCGACTACTGTTCGGGGCGCCGCGACGTCGTGGACGCTCCGCGTCTAAAAGCGTACTTTCCCCCCTCGCTCCTCGTCCCGGACCCCTTTCCGCGGCTCTCGCTCTCATCGCTCTCCGCGCTCCCGTCGCTCTCTTCAGGGACGAGAGTCGAGATGGCCACGATCGCACCTAGGGAACCCGCCAGCGATTCCCCAAATTCCGCCTGGGAGTCGTTTTCACCGCCAAAACGCTACGCCAAACGCAGGCACGCCTAATCGTTCACCAGCCGACCCTGATGGACACCCTGAAGACCCTCCTCCGCAACTTATACTCCTCGCGAAATGCGACTTTGTGGATACTTAAGGTGATATGAAAGTGTCACATATACATACTAAAAAGTGAAAAGTATTAGCAATAAAAAAAACATTTTTTTTCGACAAATGAAATTTTACGAGCATGGCGTTCTTCCTTAGGGCATCCGTAATCACTTGTTATAGTTTCAGATAATTCGGTGCACTCAGTTTTTTTCCATTCATTTCACCTTAAGGTTCTCCAACAAGATGCGTTACTAATCCCCTGGAGAATACCCTGAAGACATCCTCTTCTGCTTATATTCCTTAGGAAGCACGTGGCTCTTCAGGTTCTCTGGCAAAGTGTACGCACGGATCCCGCGATGAGCACCATGAAGACTCTCTTCTTTTCACCCCTCGGCATGAAACGAGTCTTTATGGAGTTTTACACATCTTGGCATTCTACTTCGAGGACTCTTCAGGTTCTTCATCAAGGTCTCTTACGAATCCTATTAATCGCGACTTTCTCCCCTGGAGGGAATTTGTCTCCGACTTCACTTCCGTTTTATTTAATTTTCTTTTTTTATACCGCGAATCTGGCGGCTTTAAGGAGGTGCTGCTTCTTGAAGAGGGAAGTAGAGATGCCGAAGAACGGCGGGGCTTATTCCGGAATCATAATTCCGGGCGACGTTGACGTAATATCGGCACATCGCACCTTCGCCGGTCGTTAAAGAATGATTTAAATCCCTTGCTGAAGAGGCGAAGAGGCTCTTCGAGGTCGCGGGTCGGCCCCGACGTAACTGCATGTATAACAAGCGTTTGCGTCACGCCCTCGTCATCAGGGAAACATCGATCTCGGGATTCAACGATCTTTTTGTTTATTTTCGCTGCCGAGGGCGCGAGGCGGCAGAGTCAGCTGGCAACAGCCTTAAGGTTGAGGCCCCTCTTCAGGGTTCTCTTCAGGGCTCTCTTCAGGGTCCTCTTCGGGTTCCTCTTCGGGTTCCTCTTGTTTACGGCTCCAGCCGATGTTACTCACGGGCTGAATTAACCGGCCACCAATAAATTCCGCCCTCCCTGGCGAGATATATCGAAACGTTCTCCGTCAGCCAGCCAAATTCGACTCTGGGCAGAAGTCGGAAAGATTCGTTCCGCAAGGCCGTCGACGTCTGACTCAAGTCCGTCGGGAAAATCCCCGAGTTTTCTGCTCCACATTTTTCATTCCCCTCGGGCGAGAATCCTCCGATGAATTTCCTCCGAGATTCTTTCTCCGGGAAATTTCTAAAGTGGTCCCCGAAGGGGGCCAAAAACGAAGACGGATGTTCTGGGAAAGTGTGTTCCCTCGTCAAGGGTTTCCGAAATGTGAGAATTTTCGAATGCGTACGCGCACCGAGGACAAATCTGCCAATTGAACCGAAGAAATGATTCGTTAATTCGAAGAATTATTTTAAAAATATCGCCTAATATCTTCGGAATTGCGAGCATTTATTTGAGTTTATTTTGCTTAAATAATTATTCTTTGAATGTACAATATATCTCTTCGGTGAATGAATTCTTTTTTTACGCGGTGGGGAGCGAAGAGAGGGAAGCACTCGATTTCAAGATGGCGGATTTCTTGCGCCTTTCGTCGGATTCTCGCATGGCTCGAAGGACCACTTTCGTAGAGTGTTATCCAATCGAATTACCGCGGGGTTTCGCGAGGCTGAATGCGGATGTTTTGAAATTCGAATTGTCGTTACCAACGCCCACTCGAAGGAGCCAAACGACGCCAAGCGTCGACATTAATCCTCGACCTCCCGGCGGGAAATCGAAGCCACGTCCTGCCGGCCAAAATTCCCCGCGAATCCCTCAAAATCCCTCAAATCGAATATTCTGTATAGAGAGCGATAAACTCGACGCCGGTTCCTTTCGGCGAAGAGCAAAGGACGTCTCGACGGGACATTAATTTCGCGACCAGATGCCAAGTTGTCGTCGGTCTTGTAGACGTTTCGAGCATCCCGCCGCCATCTTGGCGACGCGGGTTTCCCTAACGCTAATTGTCAAAAGCTTAATTCTCCCCAAGTAAAAAAACCCCTTTCTCCTCCACCTTTTATCGATATTCATTCAATTAAATGACATATTTATAAATTCCACCACGTTTTCCCCAAACATTAACAATTTACATGCACACCGAGAAAAAAATGGCATTGAATCAGAAATATCTCTTTACCAATGAAATAATTTGTTAACTCAAGGAATAATTATTTGACTGGAATAAAGTGAAATAAATTCACACAATTTCAAGGAATTGTTGCTTCCAATTTATTGACAAAGTATTTCTTTTGCTAGATGAAATTTTCTTCTCGGGGTGCGGAACTGGGGAAATACAAAATGGCGGACAGTTCTTCTGTAGATAATGGGGCATAGGTCGAAATATTGGGGGTTGAGCGCAAGATACCCATACAATTTTTGTTATTATCCAGAAATAAGAAATGCCGACCGTTTTCACTCCTTGTTTGCCCCTTGGAATGAAATTTCGGCGAAGTTTTTCGAAACGCTCCCATTTTTTCGCGTTTGTTCGGCGCTCGTACGCGAAGATTCGCGTCACGATTTCCGCCGGAGAAATCGTATTAGCTGAGAGAGCCGAGCCTGTCAAGAAACTTCATACTCCGAACCCGCGGCACGTTTTCGAAGGGAAGTTTGACAGGAGAAATTTGCCAGCCTCCATTTATCCTCCGCTAGAAATTTATCTCGCATAATAGAAACTAGAAAAAAAAATCACGCGGCCGTTCCCGCGAGCAGTACAATAATTACAAAAAAAGAAATCCCAAAATAATAATAATAATCCCTAAGAAACTCGAGACTTCCAAATGTGCCCCAATTTCGTCGAACCTTGGAATTTCAACTTCCTCTGGCGATGACTTAAAAAAAAGGAAATAAAAGTCATTACTTTTTTCCTTTCGGCGCATCGACAAGACTCGACGTGGATATTAAATTATTTTCAGTAAATGAATAATAAATTGGATTACCACTTAGTCGATTATTTGAAAATTAAATGAACCGGGGTTTGGATGGTCAAGAAGCGGAAGTCGACACCGGAAGTTCCGGCCATGAGAAGGGAGAGGGGATCCGCGAGATTACCCAATCCCATGGGATATTTCTGGGATCCTCCTGGGCGACCTCGCCATCCCGATTTTTAAGAGGGATAAATCAACGAGGGACTCCTAGGTGGCCCGAACCCGATTCTTTATTTTCCCTGGGCTTTCCGTTTTTCCCCGTGATTTATTCCAGAGAATCCGAAATCGTCGATCTCGAGGAGTTCCCAGATGTGTCCGCTCTCGTGCCGGACGATATTTCGAGAGCCGAGATTTCCAAAACTCGGGCCGACTGTCAATGCCCCCGATCGAAAAAAAAAAAAATCACCATTAATCCGACGGATGAAATGAAAAAGAAAAATTTCTAAATCCTACTCGTGAACGTCATTAAAAATTAGTGAAATTAAATATCTTGATTATTTCATGGGATTTTTTGTCCAATGTGCTTGTAAGATTAGGGAAAAAAAAATGAAAAACGTCAGAATTTTAACTTTACCCCCTATCCGAAATCTCCAGTACATGGTTTATCAATTTATTACGATTGTTTTTAACAGTGCCAGGGTCGTGTGGATCCTTCGAAATGGTCTAGGGTTACATTTATCGGGGATTAACAAGCAGTTCGGAGGAGTCGTAATGGATCGTTGGTCGGACTTCACGGAGATAATAAAATATTAAACGCCCAGATGGCCGATAGCGCTATTGTCCATAAAGTTATTTCCATCGATCCGCCATGCCAGAGAATTACCTTGGCATGTGCAAGCCCTGCTGCAGCTGCAACGGATGCACTGCTGTAAGCTGCAGTGATGTAACGGGCGAAGGTTAGATCCCCCGAAAAAAAAAAGATGTCGAAAAAAGTGAATATCACCGTTCTCGTGAATATTCATTTTGATAAGGTGGATAAAATTGCCTCCCGGTAAAAGGTTCAGATTTTAGGTACTTGCCTGGTCTTTTTTTACAACCCTCTCAGGCGCCCCGTTTACAGGGACTTTTTTTACGAGCACTTCGTAAAATCGGCATACCTTGATGGAAACAGATCGATCGCAAACCCCTTCTCACCCTTCCCCTCGGCGGATTCGCAATTAGATCAGCCCCCGAAAAATGAGGCGCCCCGAAAGGCCGGTGGAAACCCTCCCTCATACATTTTTATGGAAACCCATAAATCGATCGCCATTGCGGTTCAATTACCACGCCGAAGAGCGTTTGATACAAATCCTGCCCACGTATTTCGTGCCTTTTCTTCGAAATTCAATGCGTCCTCTGTTCAAGACACAACAATGCTTCTCGGTATTTATATGTCGCTACATTTTAATGCACTTTAAAACATTTCGGGTACTCTGGGGAATTTTATATTTAAGGCGCTTTGGCCGCCATCTTGGGATTTCTTACGATTTAATTCCAGGGCTGATTCAAGAGTCTTGCGAAAGGCTACAATGATTCCCGATATTCAAATGTCAATGCCAAATGTCACTACGCTTTGACGCACTTTTACGAGTTTAGGAAATTGCAGGAAATGAACGAAATTAAATTCAAAGGGGTCCTTTACGGGGGCCGCCATCTTGGAGTTCCTGGCGTCTTAATTTCAGGATCGATTCTAAAATATTACGAGACGCGACAATGATTCCCTGTATTCAAATGTCAATGCTAAATGTTACTACGTTTCGACGCACTTTTACGAGTTTAGGGAAGTGCAGGAAATGAACGAAATTATGTGCGAAGGGGTCCTTTAAGGCGGCGGCCATCTTGGAGTTCCTCGCGACTTGACTTCAGGGCCGATTCTCGATATTGCGAAACGCCCTCGGCGTTTTTCCGGCAGACGGGCGGTCTCGCATCTCGAAGCAAAGAACTTGGCCAAAAGTCGAGGATCCACGACCCACGCGATTGGAAGTTGTTGCCAGAGCGCGATCGAGGTGACCGAGTGGGCGTCGGATCTAAAGCGCCCCTTAAATCACTCCGGCCGCAATGGAGCGTTGTTTGCCCACGTGACAATCAGCGACGAGCATTCTCCTACAAGCATAATTAAAATTCCGGTCACGAGTACCTTACACCCCTCTAAAAGTGCCCCGACCACCCACGGGCCCCTGATCAGAATTGTCCATTAAAAAAAAAAGAAAAAAGGAAAAAAAAGAAAAAGAGAAAACACTGTCGCCTTGTTCAACACCCACTGAAATCGGAGTTTTCATTCCACTCCACGTTTCCGAGCAGGGAGCGAGAAACGCGAGGAAGCGATTCGCTCCGGACAAAAGGTCCGGGAATATGCAATTATTCTTGAATGTCGGATTCAGGGGAAAATTGGGTCGCCTGCTCCCGTGGAAACGGCGCCAGCTGGTTTAGTTAACTCTTGAGCGATAAGGGTTTTCGATGTCGGGACTCGCAATCGTCTGGTATTTGTCGAAGGGGCGGTTCGACTTGATGCTCCCGCGCCTA